GTAGGTCATGACCCAGAATTTAAAAAACACTCATTTAAGGAATAAAGAAAAAACTTAGGTCATAAATTTATTCATTCAACACATGTCTTTTGTTGTAGACTGATATTTTTAATATATTGTAATACCATTGCAACTTCTTACTCATGTCTTCACGGGTTTAGAATGTTTATTAAAAAGCTACTCACAACTAGTAGAAAGAAATTCTTACTTTTAAAATAATTCTTTGTTGGAGTTGATTTTTGTGAGAGGCGGAAAGTACGGCTTACTATTTTTACTTCAGAAATAGTACTTTTGAAGTACTTTTCAAATATAACAGGAAAAGCTGACCTAAATAAATGTAAACGTATAATAATAGCTAATCATTTATGTAGCACTTATTGTTTACTGAGCCTCTTCATCTGCAGTAACTCGTTTACATTCTTACTAAAACATTCAAAGTAGGTACTGGCTACATGCTTAACGACCGATGAAATGAGACAGGAACCCAAGACTCTGACGAACCGAATGTCCCCATCAGTCGGTGGTTTCCAGACACAGACCCCTTGCTTCAAAGAGAATCTCACTGCATAGATTCTTAAGGCAACTCTATTGGTCTAGAAAGATTTGAAACTCAGCACTCTGCCTCATTCTTACTGGAATTCTCTTAAATTTTTGTATCCCTGATAATACCAAGAGAATCTTGCTGGAAACAAGTACCTCATGGATATTTGATGATGCTGAAGGCATAATAAGAATAGGCATGGCTACGGTGAAAATGGATAGAACTGGTCTGTCCTCTGTCTGCCTTTTTAAACTGATCCTCCTCCTCCTCCCATATGCATCCTTTCTAAAAATCTGTATATTCTGACAGAGAGGGAATAACATTTAGCACTCAGAATAGTTGATTAAAGTTAGATATGGAGTTGAATAATATAAATTGCATTACTAGTTCCTTGATTAAGAAGCACCATCTACTTTTATATTTAAGTCAAAATCATGTCCATTTAATTTTGGTATAGTAAGTTCAAAACTCCCATGACCATGCGAAGCTCGTATATGTATTATTTCTGATTTTGATTACTAGGAATTTGTTTTGATTTAAGTTATAATTTAAAGTCGCATGTTTTTCATCATTTATTTTCTTCAATATTTGCAGTGCAAGTGGTGGCCTTGATAACGAAACACATTTCCTCAACAACACTTTATTGGAGTATGTTGATTTAACTAGACAACTCCTGGAGGCAGAAAATGAAAAAGACTCAGACACGCTGAAGGACATACGATGCCATTTTAGTGCCTTAGTGGCGAATATCATTCAGAATGTTCCAGGTATTATTTTCCATTTCTTAAAGCCTTATTGAGTATTCAAGGGACCGCCATATTTTCTCTTCCCGTGAGTTTTTGTGATCTAAGTTTATAAAGCAATTTGTGAACATACTGGAAAAATATGTCAGCATAACATGGATGGCTGGAGTTTGTTTTACCTTTGAATTAGTGTGAATGAATAGAAATTAAAAAGCCAGCACAGGTTTTCGGCAGTCATCAAGACACTGACACAAAAGTCTGAAGAAATCAATAGAATAAGGTCTTTGGATAAGCTTGTTCTAGATGCAGTAAGCTAAAAGTGTAATGCTCCACTTAATAACCAAGAATAAAATTAACAAGATACTTTTGAGTAATGGGAGAACAGGGTAGGCCATAGACACATAATGTAATAAGGATACAGCGTTACTAATTGATTCATTTAACCGATGCACGTCTGTTGTTGAGCAGGTACTATTAATATATTGGCAGGTACTGGTTTAGGCACTAGGAAGATTAGTATACACAATTGCATTTTTAAAAGTCATAAATTCTTTATAAGTATAAGACAAAAACGTGACTATAGCCTTTGGAATACAATGTAAATACAAATGTTTCTTTTTCTCTCTGCAAGAAAAATTAAAGTCATTTT